CAACGGGTGAAGTGTCTCGCCCAAGGACACAACGACCGAGACTGTAACACACATTTCCCCACAGTGGGATCAATAAAGTCTTATCTTATCAAATCACTGACCACAGAAGTAATAAAATCATCTGTCAGACACACAACAATGGAGCTTTATCTGAAATTAGAATCTGAAATCTACAGTTTATAGCTGTAACAAAAAACCCAAACAAAAAAACACCATGAAGATGCTTTAACACAATTATATTTCCAACAAAACTGAAACAAAGTGAAAAAAATATCTATGTCAAATCATTTACAGAGTACTGCAGAAAAAGACGACATGTAAAATACTGAAAAATGTTTCATTTCAGCACGTTCCCTGCAGCGCATGTTGTTCCTAAACTTTCAGATACAGTTGCCCCTCCCCATGTGTTCTAATGCCCCGCCCCCACAGCACTGAAGGGGGGAGGGAAGCCCTCCTCAGCTGATTATGACACCCCGCCATGTTAGCTATGAGATGTTCCAGTACTGTATAATACTTTTATTTAGTATTATAAATTTATCAGTCTTTTGTCGCCATTTTTATGAAGTTACCACAATCAAAATAAAAAAGAATATGTTTCTAAAAACATTTAATATGTTGTCTTTGTTTCACTATATCAAAGACAACATATTAAACTCATATTCACTTTAAATATAATATTTAATTTAAAAAAATGTGCTTCATGTGATATATTTGGTAATTTGTATGTTTTTAGGATGCTGAATGCAAAACATGAGGAGTTTACATTAAAAAAGCACAACAGTGATTAAAAAAATCAATATTTTATTACAATTAAATATGCCTAATTTCTCTGAGATTCCTTACCTTTCACTATGAACAACATAAACCACCTTGCATTTTCGATTTGTATTTCTCTTGAGTCTCACTTTTAGAAATGTTAAATTAATATAAGAAATCATTATTGGATATGTTTCTTGACTATAGGATACCAGGTTTCAGTTTATAAAGGGAAATTGTACGCTTAATTAAACTAAAAACTGTCAGGGATGTGTGTGGATGAGAGGAAGAGATGAGCCAAACGCAGGACTCATGGTGAGAGTTGGAGTTTATTATAATGAGGGGACGAGCAGAACTAAAGCTGGCTGAACCAAGATCACACATGCGGAGCAGACAACATCAATGACAAGACGCTGGACTGAGCGAAACTGAGGGTTTAAGTACAGGCTGGGTGATGAGTAATTAGAAACCGGTGAGTGAACAGCTGAACTTAATCTGAGTAAAGACACATGGAAGTAACTGGAACAGCAAAACAGGAAATGAGAACAAGTGACAAAATAAACTGAACATGAACAAAACTGAAAACACTGGGTGAACCACCCAGGAACCCTGACAAAAACACGAGTTTTGCAAGAAAACCTGATGAGATGGAAATTTTAAATATTTTTCCTGGTTTCAGTGATAAAAATGTATAAGAAACAGTCCAAAAATTCTTATTTGATTTACATTTTACACATGACGCCATTGTTATTTTTGTTTAATCTATCACAATCTACTACAGAAAACATTACAATAGAAAATAATGAAACAGGTCTACAATAATCATCTGACATATATCAGCTAAAACTGCACTTTATCATAAATATAATGCATCTTCTTGACACAGATTCCTAGTATCTCTAATGAATGCAAAATATGAATTAAAAGAAAATTAGAAAAGAAAATCAAGAGCAGAAATGATAAAAGTTGAGCTGTAGTATTCAGTGTTTAATGGAGTGAATTTCCATCCATTGTGCAGAAAATGTTTTTATGGTTTGGTTGTGGGGTGACAGCGGCTCTGGTTTCTGGTTCATTTGTAGATGCAGATGAAAAACACTTTGAGAAGTTGTCCGAAACACGCGTCCTCCTTCGTCATGGACAGCTCGTCATGGTAACGCTCTTTCTCGGTCAGTTGAGCTTCTTCTTTAAGTGACTAACAAGCTGGAACAAGAGCTCTGTCAGCACAGCTCTGACACCCATTAAGCACTCTTTGCATGGCAGATGGTTTGATGAGGCTCTGGCTCTTTCTCACTGCGTGACTGAAAAAAGCTGAAGTCATCTCAGACCCATAACTACAATAAAATATTTGGAACATCAGGACAGTCACGCTTTTGTCTTTGTGTTTCATGCTGTCTGCGTAGTTCAGGGTTGTCAAACATAAGGCATGGGGGCCAGAATTGGCCCACCAAAGTCTCTAAGCCACCTCACTGAATGACTTTGAACAATGTGATGGAGGGCACGAGTTTTAACTTCATATTCATGAGTTTTACAGTTTTTCCAGCTGATAAAGAACTCGGCCGCTATTAAGTAATAAAACAAACTGCTATAATATGCTATAAAAAGGTAGTTTTATACCATTTGTCCACATTAAAAATAAAGAAATCTCAAATTTTCTTTGTAATTAACAAAAATTTCAGTTTCATAACTACAGGACTTTTTAGCAAAGTTTTTTAATTTTTTTATCATGAACAAAAAAATGAGACTCACTATTGAAATTGCTTTTTTCCCAATATTAAGCTCTGTTAGGGGTTAAATGTGTAATTAAACTTCTTCACAGTTATACGACTGAGTTTGAAATACTTTTAAATCTGCTGACATGTTTCACTTCACTCTGAGCTCTGCTGCACATCCTGATTTCTTTTTACAAACGTTCAGTCCTCACATTTGATCAGAAATATCAGCTCTTTGACGTAAAGACAGCTTGGACTTATTTTCAGTTTTCATGCCTGTTGACGTCAGATGTGATGGAGGATAGGAGATGCTGCATGATGTGAACACATCTTGTAAAAAACCTAAATAAAAATGATTTCTACGACTGTTATCTGCTTTAAACTAACAAGCTGAGCAGATGGAGCAGAAGGTTAATAGCTGATCAGATCATGTCAGCTCATTAGCTTTAGTTTGTTTTACTAAGTGCTGTAACCAGTCAATCAGAAACACACTGTCACTTAATATGTGCTGATGGCAGAGCATCTGTTTGTACACACAAACACACACACACACACACGCACACACATACACACACATACACACACACACATACACGCACACACACACGCACGCACACACACATACACACACACGCCATCTCTTCACAGGGCTGTTCATTTCCTGAAACTTAAACCAAATCTTTCACCTCAGGTTTAATAAATCATATTAATGGTTTGCAGAGTCCCCATAATCCGCAATCACACACAAGTCCCCACAATGTGGGTGAAATAGCAGGGGGCGTATCCAGGTGGCGCTGGTGGAGTATAAATGGCGAGAAGGCTCTTGGTTCTGCCTCACACAGCTGCTCCTGCCCTACATCTCAGAGTTACCTCCTCCTCTCTGCCTGTGCAGGTGAGTGCTGGCTGTAGGTTTGGTTGTGAGGACAGTGACTGTGATGCTAACGTGAATGTGCTTTTGTGTTCAGCTCTTTCCAGCATGGCAGCGCTCTGGCTCCAGACCTTCTCCCTGCTCGTCTTAATGATGGTTTCGTGGCCGGGCTCCCAGGCCGTCGGTGGGCCACAGCACCTGTGCGGCTCTCACCTGGTGGACGCCCTGTATCTGGTCTGTGGGGACAGAGGCTTCTTCTACAACCCCAGGAGAGATGTGGACCCTCTGCTTGGTGAGACCACCAACCATGAACAGAAACACTAGACAAGAATTTGAGGGCAGCTTTTCTTTCTCTCAGTTCACTTTAAATCAGCTTTCATGTTGGAAACTGTAATTTTCCATATCTTTATGGACCCTACATGATTAATTTACATCTATTGTCATTTGTCTCAACACCTGCATCATATAATGGCGCTGATTTTGTAACACTTTGTGTTAGAATTAGTAATTTATGTTCTAATATGTTTAAAATGTATTATTTAATATAAATTCCCATAATTTTAGATCTGAACATTCACCTGCTCTTCATCCCATCAGGTTTCCTCCCTCCAAAGGCAGGTGGCGCTGTGGTGCAAGGTGGCGAGAATGAAGTGACCTTCAAAGACCAGATGGAAATGATGGTGAAGCGAGGCATTGTGGAGGAATGCTGCCACAAACCCTGTACCATCTTTGACCTGCAGAACTACTGCAACTGAACACTGCTCTGCTGGACTTTGTTTAGTCGAGCCAGGCTCGGCTAATCAGGTCTGAGTCCCAACCCCACCTCCCCCCCTGCTTCAGAGGAGAGCCACAGCTGTCCTCTCTCTGAAAACCAACTGCTGTCAAATGAAGTGCTGAGAAATGGATAAAATTAATTTTCCAAGAAAATAAAAATGCAAAATGTGACGACGTGAGGCAAAAAAGTGTGTTCTTTTGTTGTGATGAATTCCGTTAATTGATTACATTGAAAACTCAAGCATGTTAGGTACCTGCTGCTATCCAGCACAAACTGCTGAGCTTTCACTTTTCAAATATTTGTGTTTAGCTCATAGTGTCACTTCTCTGAACAGGATATAAACACATCATGCACTTGGACATGATGTCCTTTTTCCAACAATCCCTTGTCATCTTTATTTCAGCAGCTCAGTGTCAGTGTTTTTTATTCAGGTCCTCATGATTATACAGTGGGGATGCAAACTACAATGCTCTATTTAGAATTCCCATATACCAGTATTATTTCTTAAATGTTGACAATAAAAAACAAAATCAGAAGAATTTTAAGCAGTTTTAATTTTAAGTTAACCTCATTTGAAGAAGAGGTCAGAGGTCCAAGTATGGGAATATTTAGAATTCCCATGTTGTCAATTCAAATAATGCCAATAAGAATCATAGTTTGAAATATTTAGCATTATTATCACTTGACTGTCAGCTCAATCTATTGACTTTGAAGGAATTAAATAAGTTTCAAAATACTACTTAATTCTTAAATCAATTGAAAATCATGTAAACTGGGGCCCCACGGCGCATGTTTGCCCCGGGCCTCTGCTGAGGTTGCTCCGCCTGTGTAGGGCGGGACCGGCTCGTGCCGGCAGGGCGGGGTCAGGTGTTCACCTGCCCCGCTGCTTTCAGTCGTTGTTCCGCTGATTCCGTGACGGGGCTGTGGTGTGAGTGAGCCGGGCTGCGGGTTCCATGCTGGCTGCGACGCTGTCGCTCGCTTTCTGAACATCTCCGGACAATTAATTTGAGTTCTGTGGATGCGCAGAGTCCGCAGGCTACTTCCGGTTCTGTGAAAGCCTCAACAAAGCAGCACGATGCGAGATGTTCACCTGAGCAATGAGACGTGCACAAACGGTAAGAAGTCAGAAAGAAGTGTGTGTGTGTGTGTGTGTGTGTGTGTGTGTGTGTGTG